TGCATACTTTAAATACCGTGTAGTATGCTAAGCAATGAGAGAGCGAGCCATGGATGTAGCAGCTGCCTCAAATATAATCTAGTTAACATTAGACATGTTACTAGAGCTAAAAGATGAACAGCTAATAAGATACCTGCATCACATATTAACAGGCACAAGATGAATGTGAAGGTTTGGGAATTTGGTAAAATGAGATTACAGAATTGCACATTAGGAACAGAATTATTGCTCTGTGATAGATCACGGGCAATACACCATTAAAGTCCAAAAATGATCTGAATGTAGGAAAGTTAAGCCTTCAGACATCTGGTTGGGAGGCCAAGGCAAGTGACTCACGAAGTCAGAAGTTCAAGACCAGCCTGGCCAAGATGGTGAAACCTCGTCTCTACTAAAAGTACAAAACTTAGTGGGGCACGGTGGTGGGTGCCTGGGGAGGCTGAGGCAGAGAATTGCTTGAACCTGGGAGGCTGAGGTTGCAGTGAGCCAAGATCGTGCCACTGCACTCCAGCCTCGGCGACAGAGCAAGACTCTGTCTCAGAAAAAAAAAAGAAAAAAGAAAATCTGGGCCAGGCGCGGTGGCTCATGCCTGTAATCCCAGCGTTTGGGGAGGCCAAGGTGGGTGAATCACTTGAGGTCAGGAGATCGAGACCAGCATGACCAACATGGGAAACCCCATCTCTACTAAACATACAAAAATTAGCCGGCAGTGGTCGCACACGCCTGTAATCCTAGCTACTCAGGAGGCCGAGGCAAGAGAATTGCTTGAACCCAGGAGGCAGAGGTTGCAGTGAGCTGAGACCGTGCCACTGCATACCAGCCTGGGGGACAGAAAAAAAAAAGAAAATCTGGCTACAGATCTCATTCTGGCCTTTGGACTGGGAGCAACAAGAAGTGTGGAGAATGCTTTGGAGATAGAGTGGGCTAATTTTACCAATCACTAGACAGATAAAACTGGGAGCATTTGAGAGAATAATGAGGTTTTGAGGATCAGGTAAATAAAAGCAGGACAGCAGGACAGTCAGACATACCCACGTGTAAATCCTACTCAGTCAGTCCCTTTGTGACCCTAGCAAGTTACTTAACATCTGCAAACCTTCATTTTTTCATCTGTAAAAAGCAGAGAAAGAACTACCATATAGGGATGTTGAAAGACTTGAATATGTTAGCATATGCCAAGGGTATCTGACACAAGGGTAGTACTCAGTACATATTTATTCCTTTGTCTTCCCCTACAAAAATAGATATTAGGATCCTTGCTTCCCAATTTTGAAAGGAACTATTTAATTTAGCCCATAAGGCATTATACTAAAAATCACTGCTTGTTACACATTGCATTTTCAAAATGTTAACTGTTTTACCTTGCCATACTCACTAATGTGTATATTGGCATGGAGTCAATATTTACACAAATATTGAATAGTGTGTGTAGTGATTGACTTACTATAACTTGATTCAATTTAACAAACTTTCAGTTACTGTGACTATAGTCGGCTCTAGAGAAATTATGAAATGATCAAGATGCAGAAACTAACAGGGTGTGCCAGGAAAGACCTGCATTGTTAGTAACCCAACCTCTCTCCAAACACAAGACGCTATGGCTTGAGTTTGGATTTCATAGCCAGTTGTATTGTTTTAGTGATTATTTCTTACATATCCTGGAACAGTTTGATTAATTTAAATTGACTTTTGTAATAGAAAGAATAAATCACTTTCAGTTGATGTTGTGAAACTATAAACAGGCACCTAGTTATTGCAAAAAATGGAAGGAGATAAGATCTATTTTTCTTAGATACACATAATATTATAATCTAGATTTTCCCTTTGTGTGTCCCCACACCACATCCACATTTTGAAGAGAAAAAAAAAAAAAAACAATGCGTGCTCTCTACATGACCACAAGACCAACCACTACTGCCTGCTAGACAGAAAAAGGGTGGCATTAAGTGTGCAGCCATCTGCTTGTCACTGGCTCCTGGCGAGGCAAGAAAAGCTAATTAGCACCCTCACCCCACCCCCACTCTCGCCTCCATGCCCCACCATCTGGCTGGTCACCCCTTGCCGCCAACGTCAGTTTCTTCCTGCACCCTCTAGCTTGAGGAGGTCGGAGACATTTGCCTTCTTAGGAAGCGGCAAGAACAGGCTTCAGCAGCACCTTAAGCTATGAATTTCTAAAACTGAAAAGAGATTACATAAATTACCTCCTCTCTCCGTCAGCAACGCTCTCTCCTTCACTGATCCCTGTTATCTTACCTAAAACATCTTTTCCTCTTTATCCAGGAAAATAGGTCTGGAATCCAGTCTGTTTTGTAATTGACAGTTGTCTAATGATCAACAGGTACCTAATTCCTCAGTGTAGGAATTAGGTACCTAATTCCTCTCTCATCAATTTTATTTAAGGATTTGGGGGCAGAAAATGGGATGCCAAATTATTCAGTAAATGTAGGGTATTTCACCATAAAGCCACAGGAAATGGTGAAAGGGGACATTTAATTGAAACAGTAGTGACAGCTCAAATCCCTTACTCATTAAAGAGATGTAGAATAAATAGGACATCAGCTAAGCAGACTAAGATTTTAAGATTTCACAGAATAATCAGTGAACTTTCTAAGGAGTAAACAAATACAGACTAGCTATCAGACTAGCTATCACCAGACAAGAAATACGATTATCCTATTTTCCTGAGAAATAATGCTATCTGGATAAACTGATGTTTGTTTCACTTAAAAAAAAAAGAAAAAAAGAAAAAGAAAAAAAAAAGAAAAAAAAATCTTGCTAACGTAGGATGCAGTTTTTTTTAAAAAACAACACGTTATTTTTTCCCTATACTTCTTTCTTGTTCTGACTTCTTTCTTCTCTTTTTCTAACTCATAGTAATACAAGCCATATACTTTTAAAAACTTAACAGTGCCAGCTTTAAAAAGGAAAGGCAATAGGAAAATAGAAAATAAACTCTGAAAATTTCAAAACTGTAAATATTGGCTTAGAATATGAATCCGATTAGCATCTTAGAGATAAGCTGTAGCTAAGCTTACTATGAAAAGACTTGCTCCATAGTTATATTTCAGAAGCAACAATGTAAACTTGGAAAAGAAGACAAACTATAAAAAACTATGGAGTTTTGATGCCAGAATTTTTACCTCACTATAATAACTTGGTAGAAGAAATTGTCCAAGTGTATCTTTTTAAATTTTAATAACAGAAGGAAAGGTAGGCCAACCGACTGTAGTTTAGAATAGTTTTCTAAGTTAGATGAAATAATGCTGTGACCCAGATCTGAGAATACCAGATGCTTCCTACCTACAGGAGACATTTGCAATTTTTTTGACTGCTCACCCTCTGAACTGTCTTCCTATGTTTGAGGAATTCCTCACCATTTGAGTCTTAGTAAGAAACAGGGTCCTGCTCCCACTCTAGATGCTAAAAATCCATCCACCCTTGTCAGCCGCCTATTTCTTTTGCAGGCCTAGGTTTCGCCAATCAGGTGTACCAGCTCCAGATTTTTTTTTTTTTTTTTTTTTTAATATAGGATCTCGCTCTGTCACCCAGGCAGGAAAGTGCAGTGGCACAATCTCGGCTCACTGCAACCTCCACATCACCACATCCAGCTATTTTTTCGTATTTTTTACAGAGACAAAAAATGTTGCCCAGGCTGGCCTCAAACTCCTGAGTTCAAGCAATCCAGCTGCCTCGGCCTCCCAGAGTGCTGGGATTACAGGTGTGAGCCACCACCCCTAGCTCCAGAATTTTGACTCTGGAGTCAGTCACTCAAAGCAATGGAAGAGAGGCACATCCATTCTGGTAGACACACCCAGTTTCAAAAGTCAGTCAGGGCCGGACGCTGTGGCTCACGCCTGTAATCCCAACACTTTGGGGGCCAAGGTGGGCGGGTCACTTGAGGTCAGGAGTTCGAGACCAGCCTAGCCAATATGGTGAAACCATGTCTCTACTAAAAATACAAAAATTAGCTAGGCATGGTGGTGCACGCCTGTAATCCCAGCTAGTCAGGAGGCTAAATCACGAGAATTGCTTGAACCTGTGAGGCACAAGTTGCAGCAAGTGGAGATCACACCACTGTACTCCAGCCTGGGTGACAGAGCAAGACTCCATCTCTGAAAAAAAAAGGAGTGGGGAGGACAGCACCATCCTACGTGCTGGTGAGTGTGGCAGCTGTAGAGTCTCCTCCTCCTTGGCAGCAGCAATGACCTGCTCAGACACAATCTGGGACCCCAGGATGCAGCCTCCTTTGACCTTGGACTTCTGGCCCTCCCGTGATTCTGTGAGCTACCCAAAATGTTTTCAGTACTGTCCTTTTCTGCTTATGCCAGAATCAGTTTCTGTTACTGATTCTAAAGAACCCTAAGGGACACAGAGCCTCTGGAATAGTGACTTATAATTAAAAGGAGAGAGGAACCAGGACATGAAGTACAGTTTCTTATAAGCTGTGTAGTACTCACAAAAGACATCTAATTGAAGATAAGATCATTAATTTACGTGTGTATTTTTCCTTAATGTAAGCCAGGGAGGTGTTTCCAGGAGGACACATGGGGGAGCAGGGAGGCTGCGGAGGACAGGTGGGAGGGGCGGCAGGAGAAGGGGGCTCCGGGCTGGGGGATGCAGGTTTCACTGACAGTTGGGAAATAGTGAAGGGAAACCTCATCCCTTTATCAAGGTCTAGGCCCCAAAACTCTTTTGCAAAATGCAGGGTTTGTATCTGAGGGCCTCTGGCCGTGTGCCTGCTGCCATTTCCTCTGTCCCTGAGATCTCCAGAAGAGAAAGGAGCTCCAGCCTCACGTTCTTTGGGCATGGAGAGGAGCAGAGCAGGATGGAGCCTGCAGGTCATGCCAGGAGTCACCACAAGGCTGTGGCTGTCAGCTCAGGTACCAAGCTCAGGCAGCGGGATTGTAAGAACACCTGGAATGGAAAGCCATGTGCAGAGGATGAGGATATTAGACTACCTCTTTTACAAACAAAACTCTTTTAGTCTAAGCCTGATTATAGTGCTCCCTTTGGCTGTAGATATACTAAAATTGGAATGATACAGAGAAGATTAGCATGGTCCCTGTGCAAGTATAATGCAAATTTGGTTTTTTTTGTATTTTTTTTTTTAGTAGAGACGGGGTTTCACCGTGTTAGCCAGGATGGTCTCGATCTCCTGACCTCGTGATCCGCCCGTCTCGGCCTCCCAAAGTGCTGCGATTACAGGCTTGAGCCACCGCGCCCGGCCTATAATGCAAATTTGTGAAGCCTCCATTAAAAAAAAAAAAAAAATTGGAGGCCGGCACAGTGGCTCATGTTTGTAATCCCAGCACTTTGAGAGGCTGAAGCGGGGGGATCATGAAGTCAAGAGATCAAGACCATCCTGGCCAACATGGTGAAGCCCCATCTCTACTAAAAATACAAAAATTAGCTGGGCGTGGTAGTGCACACCTGTAGTCCCAGCTACTCAGGAGCCCAACGCAGGATAATGGATTATCGCTTGAACCCAGGAGGCAGAGATTGCAGTGAGCTGAGATGGCAGCCATTGCATTCCAGCCTGGTGACAGAGCGAGACTCTGTCTCAAAAAAAATAAATAAATAAAGGAAAGAAAATACAGCCTAGACATATATCGAGGCCTTCTGTCTAGAAAAATAAAAATAAAAATAAAAATTAGCCAGTCCTGTTGACTTTCACCTGTAGTTCCAGCTGAGGCTGAGGTAGGTTGGAGGATTCCTTGACCCTGGGAAGTCGAGGCTGCAGCGAGCCTTGAAGCCATGATTACACCATTGCACTCCAGCCTGAGTCACACAGCGAGATCCTATCTCAAAAAAAAAAAAAAAAAAAAAAAAAAGGCCTAGTTATAATAGAGCAATATTTTAAGTGTTTCGTTTGGGGTGATGAAAAAGTTTGGAAATAGTGCTAATGGTTGCACAACATCATAAATGTAAGTAGTGGCACCGAACTGTACACTTAAAAATGGTGAAGATGGCAAGTTTTGTTGCACATGTTTTACCATAATTTTTATTTTTCACAGTTTTTACAAATTAATAATTTTATATACCAAAACCCACTGAACTGTACACTTTAAGTAAATGAATTTTATAATATGTGAGTTATGTCTCAACAAAGCTGTTTTTGCTTTTCTTTTTTTGAGATGGAGTCTGGCTCTGTTACCCAGGCTGGAGTGCAGTGGCGACACCTTGGCTCACTGCAACCTACGCCCCACAGGTTCAAGAGATTCTCCTGCCTCAGCCTCCCAAGTGGCTGCTATAGCAGGCGTGCACCACAATGCCTGGCTAATTTTTGTTATTATTATTAGTAGTATTATTATTAATTTTTGAGACGGAGTTTTGCTCTTGTTGCCCTGGCTGGAATGCAATGGCGCCATCTCTGCTCACCGTAACTTCCGCCTCCCGGGTTCAAGCGATTCTCCTGCCTTAGCCTTCCCAGTGGCTGGGATTACAGGCATGAGCCACCGCGCATGGCTAATTTTGTATTTTTAGCAGAGATGGGGTTTCTCCATGTAAGTCAGGCTGGTCTCCAACTCCAGACCTCAGGTGATCCGCCCACCTCAGCCTCCCAAAGTGCTGGGATTAGAGGTATGAGCCACCGCTCCTGGCCTCAATTAATTTTTTTTTTTTTTAAAGGCTGGATAATAGAATGTCAGGAAGGAGGATGTCATTTAATGTGATGATCACTGTAGTACAGAAAATAAGCAAAACTTGCCTTTGGCTATAATACGTGATTATAACATTAAAGTCTATGTGTGGTTGGCAATGGACTGCCCCCAGTTCTCTCTGAGAATTTCCTGATGTGTCCTCAGGAGTGGATGCTTCTCAGCCTTGTTTCTGCTGTGTAGTTCTATCCTATCACATCATCATGGCTCACTGGTCCAGAGGTGATCCCTGAGTAAAGAAGGAACAATTAGCTTCTCTTTTCCAGGAAGTAGACATTTTGAAGAAGCCCTTGAAGCAGCACTCTAAGGAGGAGGTCTCTGCACGTGTGCATGCTCACAGAGTTCTCCAGATGTGCCCTGGCTTCTGTCCCCTTGAGGCATGGTCTCCCATTCTTCCCTGGATTCAGAGTTGCTCTGGTATTCTAGTAGCGCCTCCACCCCTTGGTTTTTTGTTTTTTGCTTAAGCTGTTTTAGTTTTTAGTCCCTTGTGACCAGAGAATATTTAATTTAATATACAGCACAAATCTTTAATGTGGTATTATTTCACTGCTAACACAGAATTTCTGGTTTATGGTAAAATAAAGATCATATGATCATCTGCCACTTCCCACTGTCCTTTCTGAAGTACAAGAACTCCAAACAGCTACAACTGATGTGTTTTAAATTATTTGAAGGTAAGTTAATGCAGTGTTTTAGAAAATAATTTAAGGAATCTGGGGGAGAAATATGAAGTCTCTTAACTTATACGCTTTTTTTTTGGTCCTGGGTAGTTTTTGTGTGTGTGTGTGTGTGTGTGTGTGTTTAAGTAAAAATACGTTATACTTCCTTTCAGAATTCCATCATCACTTGGGAGATTTCTGTGAATCATCACTAAAGCCATTCACTTTCTTATAACTAAACAAGAATCTTCTTCTGGAGTTAAGTATCAGATATGAATGTTCTCACTGACCTCCTCAGGAAGCAAAAGTCCTAAATCATTATATGGCAGTGAAGGTACAAAAAAAAAAAAAAAATCAGCAGGAAATAAAGCAGAACTGTTGCCAACACATACAAGCTGCAGTAGCACCCACAAAATGTGTAGTATCCATTCTAACACATTCATTGGACTGGATTACATTGTGTTATAGACTCAGTTAACTCTGGAAGAACATAATAGGTGTTTATTGTTTAACCTATAATGCAAAACATAATTAAGTCTATAGTCTCCAATTCTTCTCAAGTTCAAATGAAACCAACAATTTTGGTTTTGTCTAACATTCAGGATGTGTTTCTAATTGAACTGAAATCACAGTAATCACCTCCACTTTCTCTCTTGGGATCTCTATCATGAAAATTAATCGTATGATTTTGCCCCTCCCACCCAACCCCCCGTCTTCTGGAAGAAGCAATACTTGTACTTGCTGTACCTGAAAATCCCCATTCAGGGCAGAGGTAGGTATTATTGGCATTTGTCTGATCTCTGGTGTGCCCCAAAAGAAATGGCCTGAAACTGGGGGCATATTGAGTAAGATTGCAAATGGTGATTTGGGTTAGAATTCCAACCTGTAACTCACTCGAACATCCTTTCATTGACCTCTACTCCAATTAATTAGTGTGGTTTTTTTTTGTTTGTTTGTTTTTTGAGATGGAGTCTCACTCTATTGCCCAGGCTGGAGTGCAGTGGCTCAATCTTGGATCACTGCAACCTCCAACTCCCGGGTTCAAGCAATTCTCTTGCCTCGGCCTCCCAAGTAACTGGGATTACATGCACCTGCCACGACACCTGGCTAATTGTTTTATTTTTAGTAGAGACAGGGTTTCATCATGTTGGACCAGGTTCCTCTCAAACTCCTGGCCTCAGATTATCTGTCCGCCTTGGCCCCCCAAAGTGCTGGGCTTATAGGCATGAGTCACTGGGCCTGGCCTAGTGTTCTTTATTACTCAAATAATTGTTATAAGAGAAGATCTTAAGAGAACTCCTAATCCTACATTTTTGTGAGGATGTCTGATAAGACCACACATTTCCTGTTCTAAATGCAAATTTCAAACATTTCTTAGAGGTTTTTTGGTTAAGTTCAGTGAATGAGTCTTATTGTTACGTACAGGTAGTTGGATAGGCAGGAGCCAGACAGGAGAGGGCTCTCCCCAACCCACTAAGCATATCAGCAATTATGGCATTGCCTCTCTGAGTGCGATAATTTGGCAGCGCCAGGGAAAGGGCATTTCCTGATGGTCCACACCTGTTAATATCAAAATATTAATTGAATGCAAGCCCCAGGGAAAAGAAACTTCCTTCCTAGGCATGTATATTAAGAGGCAAAAATGGTGAAGTGTGATCTTCCAGGTAAACTCCACCGGAAAAAGGAAGAAAGCCTCAGATGGGCATGCTTATAACTCCCTAAACACACTGCGCTGTGCTCAGTTCCAAAGGGTAAGGAGGGCACTGCGCATGCGGGCAGCCCACCCTGAGGGAAGAATCATGGGAAAGAGGTGAGCTTATACAAGTCCTAGTATCGCCGCGCGGTGGCTCATGCCTATAATCACACCACTGCACTGCAGCCTGTGACAGAGGGAGACTCCATCTCAAAAAAAATGTCCTAGTATCACAGTTAAATGGGGGCACTTGACTCTCCCTTTTTGTTCTTTGGGTCTCTTCCAAGTGTGCTTTCCTTCTTTCCTATTCTAAAGCCGTTTTAAATAAACTTCTACTCCTGCTCTGAAACTTGTCTCGCTCCTTATGCCCTTCAGTAGAATTCTTTCTTCTGAGGAGGCAAAAACCAAAGTTACTGCGTACCTATACAGATCTAAGGCTGGACAGGCGGCTGGTAACTCAAGGTGACTCCAATCTCTTCCGCTGGTAACATTATTGTCAACTGAAACTGACAATTCTCATCACACCCAGTGAGTCCTGGAGCACCAGAACCCTGACCAATTCACCTTTACATGCCTAGTGCCTAGCATCATTCCTGCTATTAGGAAGTTTAATAAATATTTATCAAATAAGCATATCATTTATCCTTCCTACTAGGCTTTTCTTCTCAGAGAGATTAAGAGCCACGTGGACTTAAACTTTAGACTGGACACAGATCTGACAAATTTGATGCACAGGGAAAGAACTTAAAACATTTATTTAACATATATTTGTCGAATTAAATAAAAAGTAGTATGTTAAGAAAAAACAAAGATATTTCAAATATAGAGTCTTCAGTGAAGTTGTAGAGACTGAAAAAGGAATATATTTTTTAAAACAACCAGGGTGGGCATGGTGGCTTATGCCTGTAATCCCGACACTTTGGTAGGCTGAGGTGGGTGGATTGCTTGAGCTCAATAATTTTGGCAATATAGAAAGACTGAATATCTACAAAAAAATCAAAATAAATTTTAAAAAAGTAAAAAACCAGGCGCAGTGGCTCACACCTGTAATCCCAACACTTTGGGGGGCCAAGGCAGGCAGATCACGAGGTCAAGAG